CACGAAGAGTCGGAGACGACTGAACGAATGAACAACAACAACATATTGTGCATAACAGAGAAAGATTTCTGAAAGGCCACTATGGTGGTAACACTGGAAATAGAAATTGGAACTATATAGAATTCTTCTCTAGAATGTGGTAACAGCCACTCTATAAACTTAAATGATTGAATAACAGGTATGCAGATTCTTCACTATTCCATCCTTGATGAACAATACACCTTTTCCTTATTGCAAAAGAAAGAAAAGCTTTCTTACAATATTCTTTCTGTTTTTGAAAATATTCTGTGGGAATTATTCTGTATAGAAAAAAGTGTGTTTTCTGCACAACACCCTTCCCCATGTTTTAAGTGCTGAAAACATTGTTTTTGGGCAAGAAATTCCCATGTGCATTAGTCCACAGAAAAGAAAAATGGGTTCCCCTAAAACTGTGGAGACCAAAATCCACTGTGGTAATGTGAAAGTATCTAAATTAACTCAATGTATACATTACAAATACACGTATCAACAAAACACAGAGCTGCCACATTCATATTAAGCAGAAACATTAAGCTGTATTATATTATTATTATTATTATTTCATAGATATTATATTTCTTTATGTATGGCTTATAATTCATGTCACAATGCAATGCTACCTTTAGCTATTATGTATGTCCCCTTAGGATCCACCTCTCAAGAACATTGTTGGTGAATCACTTACCTCAAAAGTTGAGCCTTTTTTTATAGATGAGCCTTTTTCGATAAATGAGTAAGTAGAGTGTCTGTATATATACTTACAAACTTGATGTAACAAATTGTTCAACTGTATGTGTGTATTCATGATATGTGTTGTTTGTAGACCCAACCGCCTGATGAAGACTCTTGTGAGTCGAAACCGGTTGCAGGTTGGAGTCGTGTGTAACGAAGGGAATAGGACACCTATTGTGACTAATGGAGTCTACTCGCATGCAATAAAGAATAGGATATTCATTATCATTCAAGGACTATTACTCACACAAAAGTTTGGTTTCATACTTCAAGGGAATTACCCATTGTTTCTGCTTAATGTGAATGTGGCAGCTCTGTGTTTTGTTGATATGTGTATCTGTAATGTATACATTGAGTTAATTTAGATACTTTCACATTACCACAATCAGTGGATTTTGGTCTCCACATTAGTCCACAGACTCATGTCCCCAGAACATTTTGAGATATTGGAATACTGGGGGAAATTGTGCAGAAGTCTTGCTACTATATTATTTTTCATGGCAAGAACTTCCCAGTTTTCAGAAAATCCATTTTTGGGCTATGAAAAAAATTACTAAAAATATTAATTTAATTCAATTGTAGCAAATGTTAGATAAATTCATGGAGAATAAATCAGTTTAGAAGTTGAAGTCAAACTGCCTTGTGTTTCTTGGAAGTATACTAGATTCTGAACATATGGAATATAATATTTACTTCATATCACCCCTCTCTCTGATAACTCCAAGGATTCTGGATGACACAGTATGCAATCTAATACATTAATCACAGTGTAGTGCAGTGTTAGAGTTTTGGACTAGACTTACTAGATCTGAATTCATATTTCCAAATGGCTACGAATCCTCTCAGGGTAGTTGTGGGGATAAACATGGGGAAGAGGACTATGCAGGTTATTGCTTGCTCACATATGAAGCAAAACTGTGATTATCTGCATGCAGTTACCAACACCATGTTAGTCCATGGCATATTGATAACCCTAAAACAATATTCAGATAGAGACTCTGTGATCAGAACTTTGATCTTATCAACCTGACACCTCTGTGACTGCATTTGATGGCTGTGTAAATCAGATCTACGCTCCCCCCTTCTTAAAATGTTTGGAATTGGGATCATCTAATATATTTGGCTATAACTTCAGAGGACACAAGAAGAGGAAACATTTCTTCTTGCATATGACCCACAATTCTAATCCAATATGCTACTCACAATGCTGCATGTGCATTCCAATATGTCTCATAAATCAAAAATTGAAGGCACAGTATCAAAAGAAGAAGAGAGTCTGCTTCCCACTATATTTTTAATTCCTCCTTCTCAGTTCACTCTCCACTCTGCTCTGCATCCTCCTCCTGGCTAGAAGCTAGATTAAATATTCCTTAGTAGGTGAAAAGGAAAATCCCTTCATTTTACCTTCATCTGGGAATAATTTGTTTACCAAACAGGAAAATAACTCATTTGTGTGTGCTGTGAGCAACTATGGTTGGTCTTAATGCACACTGCTCAGTGCTTTTAGCAGAAGCTGCTCTAGACCAGGACTTCTTAAACTTTTCCATTTGTGACCCTTTTTGGGGCACTATTTTTTGGATTGAGAAACTTTAATATGACCCCCAGAGATAGCTATATAAGATAAATATAAACTTAGGCGATCCCTCTTGTCCAAGTAGGATAGTCTTCTAGGATCAGTGTACTGGCGGTAGGTCCATAGGTGACTGTGGAGCCCTATTCTTGATCTGCATCTTCTCCCGCAGTGAGAGCATTGTTTTCCAGGTAGAAGGCGGTCCCGGTCAGGGCTGGCTTGACATGCCTTCCTCTTGGCATGTTTCTCTCTTTTGCCCTCCATTCATGCCTCTTCAAATTCTACAGCACTGCTGGTCATGGCTGACCTCCAGCTGGAGTGCTCCAGGGCCAGGGCTTCCCAGTTCTCAGTGTCTATGCCAGAATTTTAAAGGTTGGCTCTGAGCCCATCTTTAAATCTCTTTTCCTGCCCACCAACATTCTGTTTTCCGTTCTTGAGTTCGGAGTAGAGCAACTGCTTTGGGAGACGGTGGTCAGACATCCGGACAACGTGGCTGGTCCAATGGAGTTGATGGCGGAGGACCATCACTTCAATGCTGATGGTATTTGCTTCTTCCAGCACGCTGACATTTGTCCGCTTATCTACCCAAGAGATTTGCAGGATTTTCCGGAGGCAGCGCTGATGGAATTGTTCCAGGAGTTGCATGTGACGTCTGTAGACAGTCCACGTTTCGCAGGCATATATCAGGGTTGGGAGGACAATAGCTTTATAAACAAGTACCTTGGTATCTCTATGGATGCCCGGTCCTCAAACTCTGCTTCATTCGGAAAAATGCTGCACTCGTAGAGCTCAGGCGGTGTTGTATTTTGGTGTCGATGTTGATTTTGGTGGAGAGGTGGCTGCCAAGGTAGCAGAAATGGTCAACATTTTCTAATGTTACACCATTATTAATAATAATAATAATAATAATACTTTATTTGTACCCTGCTACCATCTCCCCAAGGGACTCAGTGCGGCTTACATGAGGCTAAGCCCACAATACATCAGCAAAAACAACAACAACAACAACAACAATACAAAACAATAAAATGAAACTCATAAACTAAAAACAAGCAGTAAACATTAACAATAGTACAACAATGCTTAAAAACCATGGCTGGGCCAAATGTAATAATTTAAAATTTAAAAAATAATGCTGAGCATGACCAGGTGAAATATATAACTAGGATAGAATTTCGGAGAGGAAAGGCATGCAGACAATCCCAGATCATTGATAAAGTGCATTTAGGGACATATTGCTGGGAGTTTCCTTATTCTGGGAAGGCACACTGGAACAACCATGTTTTCAGGCTCCTCCTAAAGACTGCCAGAGTTGGGGCATGCCTGATGTCCTTGGGGAGTGAGTTCCAGAGTCGGGGGGCCACCACCGAGAAGGCCCTCTCTCTCGTCCCCACCAATCACGCCTGCGATGGAGGTGGGAGTGCGAGCAGGGCCTCTCCAGATGATCAAAGAGATCGTGTGGGTTCGTATACAGAAATGCGGTCACGAAGGTAGGCGGGTCCCAAACTGTTTAGGGCTTTGTAGGTAAGAACCTGAACCTTGAATTGGGACTGGAAAATGAACGGCAGCCAGTGGAGCTCCTTAAACAGGAGGGTTGACCGCTCCCTGTAAGGAGCACCAGTTAACAACCTGGCAGCCGCCTGTTGAACCAATTGAAATTTCTGGGCCGGTTTCAAGGGCAGCCCCACGTAGAGTGCATTACAGTAGGCCAATCTGGAGGTGACTAAGGCATGGACCACCCTGGCCAGATCTGCCTTCACGAGGTGCGGTTGCAGTTGGCGCACGAGTCTTAATTGTGCAAAGGCCCTCCCGGCCACCACTCACCAGTGATGAGTCCCATTTTGCGGAAAGGTCACTTGATTATGGAAAGCAGAATTTTCAGAAATCTAGCCACTAACATCTATTACTAGCATACTTTGAAATATGGTTAAAATGTCATTTTCAGCCATTTTATTCCTATCTGTGCCTTGAAGACACTAGCAGTGAAAAATTGCCACCTGCACAGCTCCTCAAACATTAGGAACTGTTCCCACAAACCCAAAGTCAGTGAAGAGTCTGAATTTGGATGTTCTCCTGACTTTGGAGGTGACTAAGGCATGTGCAAAGGCCCTCCCGGCCACCGCCAATGCCTGAGCTTCAAGTATCAGTGATGAGTCCAGGACACCCAGACTGTGGACCTGTGACTTCAGGGGGAGTGCAAACCCGTCCAACGTCTGGCATCAGGGAGTCTAAATATCAAATATTTACTAATAACAAATCAGCATTTGCAAGGCTTGCTAAGCAGGATTGTTTTCCTTTTTATGATGCATAGCTGAAGCATCTTCTGCAGAGTCCACTATAAACACTGCACAATATATTCATATAAATGGCTAGCACAGCCATTACATAAGATTCAGAAATTTTTATTTGTTGCCAAATTTTGGGGAGCTCAAATTTTGGGGACCCAAGGGAACCACATTTGGGGTCAGGAACCACAGTTTAAGAAGTAGTGAAGTCCTGAACAGACAATACCAGTCTTGACTACCCACTTAACTTTCCAATTTTCACTGTCTTGCTGTGGGCTGGTCCTTACTGTTCAAACTGCTCAGCTGTGACACTTTCACCCACATGACAGGCTCAAAATGCAGGTCCCTAAGGGGCTGCCCCATCACAGTTGTATTTACATAGACAGGAAGCAGATGCTTGGATGAAGAGACGCCTCAACATCTTCCATTTTTCGCAAGAAAGAAAGCAAGTTTTCAAGGTCCAGTTGGCTTTTCAGAAGCCCTACATTGAGAAACTTTGCTTGAGCCCTCTAGCAATGGCAACTTCTCTGTTCCAGCTCTCCGGATTGTCCTGGGCTATCTTGGGACTCTTGCTTGTAGCCACAGGTATGACTTCTTCTGTTTTGTTTAATGGGTGATAAAGATTTAGAGGGAGTAGTAATATGTAGGCAGATATTTTTCAGAGCCAGTGTCATTTGCAAGGGGATAGAGATAGAGGTGCTAGGCCTTGCCCTTGCCTGGAAGCTTTTCTTTAACTTTAGACTGAAACTAAATGTATTTATGTATCTATTTATTTACAGTATTTATATTCCACCCTTCTCACCCCGCAGGGGACTCAGGGCGGATTACAATGTACACATACATGGCAAACATTCAATATAATAATAATAATAATAATAATAATAATAATAATAATAATAAATTTGTACCCCGCTAACATCTCCGCAAGGGACTCGGTGTGGCTTACATGAGGCCGAGCACACAAACAGTCAGAGGCTAGACACAGACAGTCAGAGACTATTTAACATTCTAACTTCTGGCCACCAGGGGAGCTTCACCGTCCATCTGCGACACTGATGACGTACTTTCCGCATTCCCCGCATGCTTTTTGCTGGAGATTTTTTTTATGCCCTCGTAAATTTTGTTTAATTAACCTCCCCACACATAGGTGGTACCTAAATTTCCTACTTGACAGATGCAACTGTCTTTCGGGTTGCAAAGGTCGACAACAAGCTACACAATTGGCCGGAAGCTCACTCCGACCCGGGCTGGCTTCGAACTCATGACCTTTCGGTCAGTAGTAATTTTTTTAATGCAGCTGACACCCAGCCAGCTGCGCCACAAGAGGCAACCAAGTGAGAGATGCCAAGAAGAAAAATCCAAACCAAATGGACATGGGGTAACATTTTCAGTCTAGAAAATTAATGGAACGGTGCATCTACACTATAGAATTAATGCAGTTTGACACCACTTTAACTGCTATGGATCAAATGCTATTGTAATTTCAGTTTTCTCTGCCAAAGAGTGTTGATGCATTACCAAACTAACTACCATTATGTTATAGCATTGAAGCGTGTTAGTTAAAAGTATTGGACAGCTAATGCTGGAGTCCAGTTTTCATTATCTTTCACAATTAGTTAAGGCTGATGAGAGATGCAGCCCAACAACATCCAAAAGGCTGCTTGTTCACACCTTTAGAAAACTGGAACTGAATTTGGCTAGAACAAGTCCAATTTGGCCTAGTTTTAGCTTCAGTGCTTGATAGGGAAGCTGATTTGGGCTGGGTATAGGGCTGCCATATTGTATCCAGGTTGAGACTCTTATAACTTGGATTCTCAACAGGACAAGGTAATAGAGAACTTTGTCCCGGAAGACAAAGGAACTCCAACTTTTAGGCCCAATTGTGTTCTTGTCACTGGCTTCTCCATACCCCCTGCCTCCACCAGCACGGCCATAGGTGTATTATTTATTTATCGTGTAAGGAGCAACCACACAGTTGTATTACATTTTTAACAAAACAAACAGACAGACAGACAAAACGCAAAGTTCGCAAGCTTGGTAGTTGATTAAATATCCTTTGACCAGTATCTGGCCACTTGGAGTGCCTCTGGTGTTGCCGCAAGAAGGTCCTCCACTGTGCATGTAGGTGTATTGAGAAGGGATGACTGAAGCTGAAAGTTGGGATTTGGAAACTGAGAGTAGACAATCATATGCCTGTTTTGTTTTGTTTTGTTTTTTTACAGAGGTTTATGATACACCATCTTACTTTAAGAGTAGTTAAGGTTCAAAGCTACAGGGGCCCCATGACAGAACCAATCTGGTAACTCTAGATTGCCCCCCCTCCCCCAGCATTCTCCAGTTTTAGAGTGAGATTTCTCCAATTTCCCCCACCCCATGATATTTCTGGTGGTCATTCTTAGAAACCAGAAAGCGAAGTGTTCTGTGCAGTGAGTTATTTCAGGTTTCCTGCCCTCCTGTTTTGCATTTGGAAACAGGAACTGCAATGCTACCCTTTGGTTTCTAAAAAAAAACCCACCCTGAAGGAAGAGGAAGAAGCTGAAGTAGCAACCAGATAAAATTATGGAGTGTTGTTGTTGTTAATGTACCTTCAAGCCAACTTTGATCATATCCAGAGGTTTGCTATTGCATTCCTTTTTGATTTCCATGGTTGAGCTGGGATTTGAACTGGAGTCTCCAAAGATCCTTGTCCGACAGTCAAATTACTACGCAACCCTGGCTCTCTGTGAAAGCTTACACTTCCTGAAATGCATACCTGCTGATATTATCTCTCTTGCACAGCCATTAAAGATTGGAAAGGTACTTTACATCTGGCTACCCTAAGCTCACTGGAGGGAAGGATACTAGAGATAAGGTTGAAGTACTTTGGCCACATCATGAGGAGACAGGAAAGCCTAGAGAAGACAATTATGCTGGGGAAAGTGGAAGGAAAAAGGAAGAGGGGCCGACCAAGGGCAAGATGAATGGATGGCATCCTTGAAGTGACTGGACTGACCTTGAAGGAGCTGGGGGTGGTGGCGGCTGACAGGGAGCTCTGGGGTAGGCTGGTCCATGAGGTCACGAAGAGTTGGAGACAACTGAACGAATGAACAACAACAACAACCCTAAACTTTCCTGGTCCTGAACTACTGAAGAAGCAGGGGATGTTCTAGCTGTGCATGAGTACCCAGGGAAGGCTCAACATTATGCTGGTGCAGTGAGAGGACCCTTGTCTCCAAATATAAAAGAGGAGCTAGGACTCCTCTGGCATGCCCAGATAACCAACCAGTGGCAAAGGAAGTGGAGAAAATTAATATTTTAGTCCCCAGAAGGTTGGCATGAATATGCTAAGGGAATCTTAAGCTCCAATAGCAGGTTATATAAAGCTTAGCCAGTGTGTAGGATTTTGAATGAAGAGTTTACAATTACCATCATTTCCCGAGTTACAAACATCCAAATTACTCATAGGTAAGAATGGGGGTGAGACAAACAGGAAGTGAGAGAAATCTACCGCTAGGAAGGGTGGTACATTTCACTCCTGAAAGAGCAATCATGGACAAAGGTATCTCCTTACATACTTAGGCGATCCCTCGTAGTCCAAGGATTATGGTCCTCCAAGTGTAGTATCCTGGGGGTGGGTCCATAGGTGACTGTGGAGCCCTATTCTTGATCTGCATCTTCTCCCACAGTGAGGGCATTGGTTTCCAGGTGGAAGGTGGTCCTGGTTGGGGTTGGCTTGATGCACCTTCTTCTTGGCACGTTTCTCTCTTTCACCCTCCATTCGTGCCTCTTCAAATTCTGCAGCACTGCTGGTCATAGCTGACCGCCAACTGGAGCACTCAAGGGCCAGTTCTCAGTGTCTATGCCAGAGTTTTTAAGGTTGGCTTTGAGTCCATCTTTAAATCTCTTTTCCTGTCCTCCATTCCATTTTCCATTCTTGAGTTCGGAGTAAAACAACTGCTTTGTGAGACGGTGGTTGGGCATCAGGACAACATGGCCAGTCCAGCAGAGTCGATGGCGGAGGACCATCGCTTCAATGCTGTTGGTCTTTGCTTCTTCCAGCTCGCTGACATTTGTCCGCTTCTCTTCCCAAGAGATTTGCAGGATTTTCTGGAGGCAGCGCTGATGGAATCGATCCAGGGGTTGCATGTGATGTCTGTAGACTGTCCACGTCTCGCAGGCATATAGCAGGGTTGGGAGGACAATAGCTTTATAAACAAGCACCTTGGTATCCCTACGGGTTTCCACAACAAGCCAAATTTTCCAAAATCCAATTCTCACAGGACAGAACGTGAAGTGAAATATTCTGAACAGGATAAAAGACAGCCAAACAAATGCCACAGTATTCAAATCCCTGCTCAGCCATCAAACCCACTGGATTACTTTGGGAAATCATACTTTTTCAGCCTCAGAGGAAGGCAGTGACCAAGCTCTTTATCTATTTAAAGCCATTCTCCCTTCTTCACTATGATATATCTCTCTTCTGAGATTGCCAGATGAAATACAGGGCAGGTCTCCTGAGCCTTTTATGGTTATGAAGAAGAGAGACTTTCAGATGTGGTCTGTCATATGTAAAATTCCCTCATCCCAACGATTAAATGTACGGGAGCCTTGTTCTATATTTCACTGGATAATCCTATTGTCTTCTCCTTCTGTCCTTATGGTGCTTTTCTCCACTTACTTTAAGATAATAGCCCTTATTATTAAATGTTTTCCAACCTGCAGTTGTTTGGCATTATAAGACTGATCTGTTTGTTTGAGCTATTGTGGATCTTCAAGTCATTCCTGACGTATTGCTACCCTAATGGGGGAGGGGGGTGCCTTTCCTTTCCTCTGAGGCTGAGAGAGAATGACTTGCCCAGTAGGTTTTCCTGGTTAAGAGTGGATTTGAACTCTTCTCTAGTCCAATACTCAGATCATTACATCATGCTGGATATTTTTATTAAGAGAGTACACCTAAAATGACCTACTCTAAGTCTATGATCTGTTTCTTTTATTTATCATGTCAGAAGCAAGTTGAGGATACAGTTAAATGCATTTAAAAAGACAAACAAAGTTCAAAAACTTGGCATTATGCTCAATGTCATATGCACAGAAGCTGGTCACTTGGAGTGCCTCTGTTATCACTGTGAGAAGGTCCTCCACTGTGCATGTGGCAGGGCTCAGGTTGCATCGTAGTAGGTGGTCTGTGGTTTGCTCTTCCCCGCACTCGCATGTTGTGGACTCCACTTTGTAGCACCATTTCTTAAGGTTAGCTCTGTATCTCATGTTCAGTGCATTCTGTGTGCCCATATGGTCTGTTACAGAGTGCTAATGCGTGTAATCCATCAAACATTGCTAAAAATGGGTAGAACAGACAGAGATTGCTATTATGAGGGGTGGGGGTGGAAATGTCTTGAAGTCAACCATTGACTTAAGGTAACCCAATGAATTTCATAGGATGTTCTTAAGCAAGCAATATTCAGAGGTGGTATTCCCTGCCAGTCTCTCACCCAAGTACTAACCAGGACTGACCCTGCTTAGTTTGTGAGATCAGACTTAGAAATCAAATTATGCTGAATTCAAATGTCAATAATGGACCCCAAACTTAAATATATTTCTGTTCTAGCTAGATAACAAATGCAAACTGAGATCCCTTCCCTCATCCCCCTTTCACCTTTTCAACACAATCTGTGCTCTTCCATCTTTTATTCAGACTCTGCCACTTCTCTGACACTGAAACGTGCCCGCTTCATTGCTGCACGGCGGGGTGCGACTATTTCCTTCAGCTGCTCCTTTAACTCTCTGTCGAACTGGTACAAGGAAACCGAGAATGGCAAGCGTGAGGAGGTGGTGAACAATTCCAGAATCCAGATGTTCAGAAATGACACAGTGATGATGATGCAAATCCGAAAACTTCAACAAGTGGACAGCGGCATTTATTCCTATGAGAGAAACAAATCATACAAGGGTGGAAAAATGGAGCAGCAGCACTGTGGCACCGAACTCAGAGTCATGGGTGAATCTTTAACCTTCTAAATATCCTTTCAACATTTTTCAAGGTCATGTATCTAGATTTGTGAGCAATCCGCAACAGGAAATATTTTTCCACTTGGAGTTTTGAAGTCAATACAATTCCATGTAATGTTCCATTTTGCTATCCTGAATGTATATAAATAAAAATGTAATGTTCGTTTGTGGGATTAACATAACTCAAAAACCACTGGACAAATTGCCGCCAAATTTGGCCACAAGATACCTACTTACCCAAGGAGTGACCATCACTCAAAAAAAATTGAGTTTGTCATTTGGGAGTTGTAGTTGCTGAGATTTATAGTTAACCTACAATCAAAGAGCATTCTGAACTCCACCAGTGATGGAATTGAACCAAACGTTGCACACAGGACCAACAGAAAATATTAGAAGGGTTTGGTGGGCATTGACGTTGAGTTTGGGAGTTGTAGTACACCTACATCCAGAGAGCACTGTGGACTCAAACAATGATAGATCTGGACCAAAATTGGCACAAATATTCCATATGCCCAACTAGGAACACAGATGGATCTTGGGGGAAATAGACCTTGGGGCAAACTTCCCACACAGAACCCCTATGACCAATATAAAATACTTAAGGCCATCCAGTCCAACTCCCTTCACCAGGGCAAGAAAACGTAATTAAATACTGTTTACCCAGAAGCATAAAGATATTACATATATTAGTAATCAACACTTTCTCATTACTTTATTTTCCAGGTCACCAGACTGGGCCACAGCAACGTGTGGCAGGGGACGGCTAGTATTATATAAACCTTGAATGCCTACACACATCCATACTATACTTGCAGCTGCACTGCCTCATAGATTTGATATTCTGTTGTAGATTACAGATTCATTTCATGGCAAAGATGGAAAGGGAAACTGCAAACACACACTTGGAAATATTTGAGTGTAAATGGGTGTTCACTCCAGGTTGTTAGACCACTATTAGAGCAAAATGTCTTCTCTCTTGTTTTTAAGGTGTCAGCACTTTTGAGCAAGTGCAAAGTCGGCACACTCTGAAAGATGCCATCATTGTGGTTCAGACGCTTCTTCTTGTCTTATTTCTGAGTATGCCTCTGTTCCTAACCATGAGGAAGGTGAGTGTGTCAGATGCACCTGATAACTGCCAGATTCTACCATTACCAAATCTATCAGTAATCAAATTAACAAAACTGAAAATGTGGAAGGACAGGGTGGTCTTTGCACAGAGCCTTTGGACCAAGTCTTTAAGATAGGTTCTCTCCCTATGTCGCTCAGTCATGTGGCAGTGATGTTACAGACAAGAAATCAGATGCTGTTGGTATATAGGAGAGATGGCAAGCAATTCAAATACTGAAATACATTAGTACAGTTGTGTAATGACCTAACCTTCTTGGTTATGACAAAAAAAATAAAACTGAGAATAGAAGTAACTGGCAGGGCAAGCCCTATCATTAGGCAGAGTGAGGTGGCTCCAGACAGAAAGTTATTGCTTTTTTACTATATTATTATTACATTTGGTTGTTTGCTGCTACTGTTGCTATATTTTGATATCAGCACAAACACAAAACAATCTATGTGTAATATCAAAGTGTAATATCAAAAAAGCATATAGTATGGAATTTACCAAAATCCCCAGTACATAGCTCAATTCTGTGGCACAAAGCAAAATCAAAAGGAGCAACCGCTCTCAAATGTAACAGTTCTAGGTCTGAATAAGGATTCCACTGTATAGAGGCTTCAGGGATACATTCAATGAGAAAAATTATATAAACAAAGTAAGCATTGAGTCATGAGGCTATATGTAGACTGAAGACAATAATGAAGATGGAACACCACTCTCAAAAAAAATCTTCATGGATAAAATCCAAATCAAGTCCAGTGAAATTGGAGCACTGCTTCTCAAAAAAAGTCTCCGAAGGAAAAGTCCAAATAGCATTCAACAGGGGTGCCCGGGTATTTTTGTACCCTGTTTCAGGGAAAGAAATCCCCTTCCTCAAAAATTGATGTAATCAGCAACTCTAGATTCTTATATCATGCCAGATCGCTTTTACAAAAAGTGACTCTGCTTGTAGTAAATTCACACTGCGAAATTACTTATTATTATTTTTATTATTATTATTATTATTATTTACAATTTTTATTTTTTTTACACTTTTTTTTTACATTTTTGTATTTTATATTGTGGCTTGCTTTGGATACTATGCACTTTAATTTGAATGAAAAGTGAGGCACTTACTTCCAAGTACTATGGCTTCTAAGATCAAGTGAAACTTATTATTTTTATGGTATTTAGGCAATACAAAACTACAAATATATTCATTTACATCAATATCGTAGCAATTTTTAGTATCCTGTCCAAGGGCAGAAAATACCTGAATTAAAAAAAGAAGAAAATCCCTTCAATTCTTATCAAACCTTAGAAAAAAATAGTTTTAAAATACCACTATTTGACAATATCAATCTATCTATGTATCAGTGCATCTATATACAGGGAGATTTTATTTTGTTTTGCACTACCTTGCAGAAGGCACTGAAACAGGGATTCCAGTCACCTGGTTCACCTATTAAATTAACTTGGAGTTCAGAAATCAGGAATGGGTTTTCATTTGGACATACAACTACAGTTTATATTTTATTTCTGGTGATTTAACTCTGTTTGACTTGTTATGTGTTTTATTATTATTTATACTATTGTCTTGTTGTAAGCCACTCCAAGTCCCTGTAAAGGCTTCCTCTTCATTGTCTGATATTCTATTCAATCTAGTATGCTGCCACCATCTGTGAGGTACTAGGCTATGCTGCCACCAATTAATAAGGGTTTCCTAATCAGTTTATTAATGGATTCCTCTATTATCAAATAGATTCACTGCTACCACTCTGTAGTGCTTCTTTTGGTGTGTAGCGAGGGTTTTTTCCCCTTTGAAATAGTACACTGAGACTCGAGTTACTGAAACAAGAACAAGTTTATTTGGAGTATGGAAAGGTCTTAATGGTTTCAGAGTTCTCTTCTCCTGAGGTATAAAGCTTCACGAGTTACAGTTTCAACAAATCTTAATATAACTTTAGGATGTCTTTTACTTCACCAACTAGTTTTTTAGTTGTTACACTTCTAAATATGTTTCCTTATTTGACAGATTAACTAAGGTCAGCTAATGCCCTTGTCTCCTTTCAGCTTCCTGCTGAAGTAAAGATTCCCTGAGGGATTTCCTCTCCTATTAGCACACAGCTAAACCACAAACCTAAATAAGTCCCCTTGACTTATTTAAATCACTCAGGCTAAAAGCTTTCCCTTAGTTTGGTTCACTACACGTTTGAACCACCTTCCCTTTGGCTCGATGACCAAAGGACTGAAGCCTCAAAATGTCTGCTTCTGGAAAGTGCAGTTGGCTCCACCCCTTTCTCCATGGCAACCTAACTCAGAGTGCTGAGCTTGGTCCCATCCCCCTAGTTCTGCCATTTCTAAATGGTTAACCCTTTATGTACATCCATAACTGTCTTTTACCTCCTGAACACATACATATAATAATATTCAGCCATCTAAGCATGTGTGTGTGTGTGTGTGTGTGTACATACATACATACAATCATATTTAACTGTAGAGACACATATACATAACTATTAGGCTTGGGCGGTTTCGTTCGTTAATTTCGTAATTCGTTATTAATTCGTATTTAAATTAGCTTACGATCCAATATTGAGCCATGCAGGAATAGTGTGAGGAGTAAATTAGATTCGAAACAATTTTTTCAATTTATTTCGTAATTATTTTGTTATTATTTCGTAATTATTTCGTAATTATTTTCGCATGTCTGGTGCAAGTTTTGTAGTTGTTGTTTGTTTTATCACACCAACAGTCAACAACAGAGGGAGAGGGAAGCTTCAGAAGTTCCCCCTGTCCCATTTGGAGGTTTTTTTAGCATATTGCGCAATTGCGTTCACCATTAATGAATCGATTCGTAATTTTACGAAATTTCATATATTTCGAAATTTTTAAAAGGAAAATTTCGGAATTATTAAAAAAAACGAAACGCAAGGGCCCCCTAAAAACGAAACGAGTTTAGAACCAAATTTTTCCATGGTTACCCAAGCCTAATAACTATGCTTAACTTACAGTTAAAAATCAATGCTTCATCACATTCCCTTTGGGAGATCGGGCGGGATATAAATAAAGCTTCATTCATTCATTCATTCATTCATCCACAAATTCAACCATCCTCAATTTGAAAATATCCCCTTCTCCATCCGTAAAAGCAAATCTCATTTTTGCCAGTTGATATAAAGAACACTATTTTACTACACAATTGTATATAATGGGACTTCAGCATCCATTGATTTTGATATCTACAGGGGGTCCTGGAATCAAATCCCATCAGATATTAAGGGCCCACTGTATTCCTTTAAAATGCCTTGAGAGAATGTGAGCAGCAAACATTCTTTAAAGCCATCTTCCACCTTTTGGACAAGGTCCAGACAGACAAGTATGTTCTTTTGTTGTCATTTTGTTGTAATTAAGTATTTTTAACAATATGTAGTAAAACAGGACCAATAAGTATTAGAAAGAAATGATGAGGAGTGCTTGAGTGATAGATCTCCAGCAGCTTCATTTCAGGCAGAACTAAAGAACTTGGTGATGATGTTATTCTGTTCCAATTTAGGGTGAGAGCAAGGAAGCATCTGCTGAAGACCACACTTATGAGGTGAGCAATGGAGTGAAGCATTTTAAAAATAGCAAATGGGTAGAAGAAGTTCTTTAGTTCTTTAGTCTTTCTTCTGTGGAAGAAGGAGGGTTTGAGAAGGAGACTTTGTCTCTCTGCTCCTTCTTCCACATAATCTTGCCAGTTTATTGTTTCTGAATGTAGTCGGAGCTACACAGTCCTACACACCTTTTCTTATATCTTTCATTGTATCGTTGAATGATGAATTACCGACAATTATTGTTCAATTATCGGAGACAACAGGGACAGAGATGGATCTTGCTGCTATTTACAGTCATTGGAATAGATGGAGTAGATGCTGGGGTATATTGATCTTTGTTCTGACTAGTAAAGCTTCTTGAATTTATATGGTTTATATAGTGCATCTCTAGGAGCCTCCGGTGGCGCAGTGGGTTAAATCCCTGCGCCGGCAGGACTGTAGACTGACAGGTTGCAAGTTTGAATCCAGGGAGAGCATGGATGAGCTCCCTCTATCAGCTCCAGCTTCTCATGCGGGGACATGAGAGAAGCCTCCCACAAGGATGATAAAACGTCAGAAAACATCCTGGCGTCCCCTGGACAACGTCCTTGCAGACAGCCAATTCTCTCACACCAGAAGCGACTTGCAGTTTCTCAAGTCGCTCCTGACATGACAAAAGAAAAAAATCTCTAAGATATAATAGTGTGGACAACTTATTTCACAACCACACTAAAGCATTATATCAATTTGATAACATTTTAATTGCCATAATATCATACCCTAATATTAAGATTTGTAGTTTGGCAATATACTTAGAACTGTCTTTTATAATGGTCTAGCACGAAAGTTCAGGGAGTGGATTCAATTATTTATTTATTTTATTTCCAGCATTTCTACCCCGCTCTTCTCACCCCCACAGGGGGACTCAGAGCGGCTAACAATGGCAACGATTGGATGCTGCAATAATTACAATCATAAAAGCAAAATAAAATCATACAATACAGTCAAACAACATTAGTTATCCAATCATAAAGGCATTTACATTATAACAACTGTCTGGTCCAATTCACTGTTTAGGTGACATTATATCCATTAGCCAAAAGCCTGGTTCCACAACCACGTCTTCAGTTTTCTTCTGAAAGAAAGGAGGGAGGACACTGATCTAATTTTGCTGGGGAACGAATTCTACAGGCGGGGGGGTCACCACCTAGAAGGCCCTGTCCCTCGTCCCCACCATCCGCGTTTGCGAAGCTGGTGGGACCGAGAGCAGGGCCTCCCCGGCAGATCTTAGACTACGAGGCGGAACGTAAAGGGAGATACGTTCAGACAAGTAAGCTGGGCCGGAGTCGTATAGGGCTTTATAGGCCAAGACCAGCACTTTGAATTGTGCTCGGAAATGGACCGGCAGCCAGCAGAGTTGACGTAACAGGGGGGTGGTATGCTCCCTGTACGATTCAAGTTTTGTAGTTGACAATTCTAAATACATCACTAAACTACAAAATCCAGGATCCAGTGGAATGGAGCCCTGCCAATGAAAATGTTATCAAAATGCTGTGACTACATATTATGTGGATGCACACATAGTTGCTATCCTAAAGTATCAAGAATAAGTAAGTATAGCATTGTGTTGGAATCTTGGTTTTTCCCCTCTTTTGATTCAGTCTCACTTTTTACCATCTACAGGGGCTGCAAGTCGAACTAGCTGATACATATGAAGATATTACAACTTACCAGGACACTGCACAGAAGTGGGATTTGGGAGAGCATCCATGTGAAGAGTGAAAGATTTTGCAGCATTTTCAGCAAGGTGGGCCACACCTCTCTTGACCGATGAGGCAACCATCCCTGTTGTGTGGCTACCATCCAAAAGTGAGAATTCTATTTGAGGAAGACATGAGTGGGAATTATAGTTGCTGCTTGGTTTCAGTGCTCTTGACACCTCTCATTTATGATCTAGCATTAGTTGAACATCTATACCCACATGCACCAGATTCGTTAGGATTGTTGATTATAGACATATCCAACGAGGGATCAGTCCTGATCTGGAGGCCATCTACTGTTGGTTCCTGAAAGTCTCCAGTGGAACATGGTAGCAATGATTTGGTCCCCATATAAGCTAGTTTAATAAGCATTAATATCATCTCAAGACTGGACTACTGTAACGCCCTCTACATTGCCTTCCTCTGTCGGTGATCCGGAAGTTCAAGTTGGTACAAAATGCAGCTGCTCGGCTTCTTGCGGGAATTCCGATGAGATGCCACATAACACCAATCTTATTACAGCTGCATTGGTTAACAATTGAGCACCGGATCACTTTCAAAGTGATGGTACTCACCTTTAAGGCCTTGCATGGTCTGGGGCCGATGTACCTGAGGGATCGCCTCACCCCCTACCAACCTCGGAGATCCCTCCGTTCTGAGTACCAAGATCTATTGGAAATTCCCAGTGTCGAGACCTTGCGTCTAACAGCAACCAGACGCAGAGCCTTTACAGCAGTGGCACCATCACTCTGGAATACTCTGCCACCTGAAGTCGGAGCCTTGCGGGACTTATCAGCTTTCTGCAGGGCATGTAAGACATATCTGTTTCGACGGGCTTTTGATCTCTGATATTGCTGTTTTTAAATTGTTTTAAATTGTTTTTAAATTGTGTTAGATTTTAGCCTGTTCTTGTAAGCCGCTCCGAGCCCCAGGTGAGTGGCAGCATATAAGTTCGAATAATTAATTAATTAATTAATTAATTAATATAGGGCAAACCTCTCAAAAAGAGGAAACCCCTAATGGATATGGATATATGCATGGATTGGTCTTCCACATATTATTTTAAGCTGGGTTCCTCTATAAGAGAAGGAGGTGGAAAAGGAACATTGCATCCTATAATTTAATGAATTCCATCACTTCATCCCAGTAAAGTATAGTAGGTTTAAATTTAGTAATCCAAAAGCTAACATTAGTACTTTTTAAAATGCTCATAAGATGACAAAGTCTGTTGAGAAGCCCCTCGCTCTCCCAGTTACACTTCTGAATCTCAGATTCATCTCAGGCAGCTATGTTTATATTTCTGATTAGCCATTTCCAAAGGTACTGTAACTATCTTTCCTAATAGCCTAATTATTCCAGCAGTCCAAAATGGTCCACCACATCTGGAGGAAACCTACATGGCAAAACCATGCCTCAAATAGTCTTTTAATAAAGCTACAAATTTGTGGTGCTTTACAGAATCTGCTCTTGTTTTTCTGAGATTCGCTGAACCAGATCCCCTTCTTTCCTGTTACTTCACAAAGCTTCCTCCTGTATGCATCAGGGGAATGGGTGTTCGAGTAGAAAAAAGGAGCCACCTAGCCAAGCAAAGACAGGATGGAGTTCAATTTTCATAACTGGGTTTCAGTTCTGCCTGTCATGCCCACCCTGGGCTGACACTCTACCTCTCCCCCAGGGCTTGAAGGCATTACTTATTTGGACAACAGGTCCCCACAATCCGCAGGTCCCCACAATCCTGGACAGTATAGCCATTCAGTTCTTGTGGGTTTTTTCGGGATATATGGCCATGTTCTAGAGGCATTTCTCCTGACGTTTCGCCTGCATCTATGGCAGGCATCCTCAGAGGTGAGGTCTGCTGGAGCTGGGGGAAAAAGGGTTTATATATCTGTGGAATGACCAGGGTGAGACAAAGGGCTTTTGTAAGTTGGGCTAGGTGTGGATCTTTCAACTGCCCACCTGGATTAGCATACAATGGGCTGACTGTGCCTGGAGCAAACTGAATCTGCCAACCCCACCTCCTCCAAGATGAACTGAACCACCTCAACTGGGCTCTCCAGGCCAATGGATACTCCACCTCAGACATCAGAAGAGCTGCAAGACCAAGAACAAGCCACGAGAGTGAAGATGAAGATCCACCCAGAGGAAAAGTGTTCCTGCCATACATCAAGGGAACCACTGACCGCATAGGGAAGCTGATGAGGAAACACAACATACAAACAATCTACAAACCAACCAAGAAAATCCAACAAATGCTACGTTCAGCAAAGGACAAGAGGGATCCTCTCACCTCTGCAGGAGTCTACTGTATACCATGCAGCTGTGGACAAGTCTACATAGGGACCACCAAACGCAGCGCCCAAACAAGAATCAGGAACATGAAAGGCACTGCAGACTACTTCAACCAGAGAAATCAGCCATAGCAGAGCACCTGATGAACCAACCTAGACACAGCATTTTATTTGAGAACACAAAAATGCTGGACCACTCTCACAACCACCATGTCAGGCTACACAGAGAAGCCATTGAAATCCACAAACATGTGGACAATTTCAACAGAAAGGAAGAAACCATGAAAATGAACAAAATCTGGCTACCAATATTAAAAAATTCTAAAATTGCAACAGCAAAAACAGCAGAGAGAAAAACAGGCAGGGACATCTAATCACCCTTCAAGAAGAGTTTGCTCCAGGCACAGTCAGCCCATTGTATGCTAATCAAGGTGGTCAGTTGAAAGATTCACACCTAGCCCAACTGACAAAAGTCCTTTGTCTCACCCTGGTCATTCCACAGATATATAAACCTTTTTTCCCAGTTCCAACAGACCTCACCTCTGAGGATGCTTGCCATAGATGCAGGTGAAACGTCAGGAGAAATGCCTCTAGAACATGGCCATATAGCCCGAAAAAACCCACAAGAACTGAGTGATTCCAGCCATGAAAGCCTTCGACAAGTATAGCCACCCTGGTCATATTGTAGAAATATTAGCCATATTTCTACAATTTAGAGCTTTTCTTGGACTATAAGAATGCACCAGCTTCAAAAAGTTGATACATGCTGCAATTTGTGGTACTGAAATGAAAGTTCACCCGCATCTTGAAAAGAGCAAATGCCCCCTCTCTTTTCCTCGTTCAGAAAAGCTGATATTAAGCTAGGCCAACTGGAACCTAGGCTCCAGGCATAATACAAATAATAACAATAATAACAACCATAATAATAATAATAATAATAATAATAATAATAATAATAATCTTTATTTATATCCCGCCACCATTTCCCCAACAGGGACTCAGGGCAGCTTACATAAGGCCAAGCCCGAACAACAAATTACAATACAATGAGATACAAATTGCAATAAAAAAACAACTTAACATTAAAGTATAAAACATATAAGCATATAAACAATAAACACAAAACATAAAAAAAAGTAAACCAACATAATGACAATGAGTGGGCCGCATGTACATAAAATGATTTAAAAACTCAGGGTGAGATAAAGAGGCAGAACTATTTCTAAGAGAGAACTCATAGAGAGACAGGGAAATAAACAAACCTTCGTACAAGGAGGGGTGTACGTATCAAAATTCAACCATGATCAAAGGAGGATATTTTAGTCAGAATGCCTACATACATATTATTTCCAGTATTGGAGGCAGAATGCCCCAGAATGTCAATTACTGGGGGATATGATTGTGAGAATGCTGTCACACTTGTGTCCAGGAGGTGGGCTTGCCAAGATACGTGGAACAGAGCAGTGGATTGGATGAGACTTTAGTCTCATCTAGCACAGCTCGCTCTAAAAAAATTCTTAAAATGCTCTGATGTGAAATCAAAATGCTCTTTGAAATACTTTGCCAGATGGTTAACTCAAAACCTTGTACATAGTTGTAAATGTTGAATTATCCTAATAAAGATATCACTTTAATAATAAGGTGTCGATTTTTCATATCTTCATATCTTCTCCTTATGACCAGGACAAAACAGCCTGGGTGGACTAAAGCCAAATAATATCCTTGACTCTTTCTTTAGTGTATAAGAAACAAACCAGTGCCAGACCCCCCCAGTACACAACCATGTAGGAACGGCAGAACAATATACATCAGCTCATTGGTTCTTCATGACAAGCCAGGATTCTTATGCATTTCTGGTTTGTCATGTTGTACAAACAAACTTATCATCTGAATTTCAGATCTCCTACTAAGAAGAAACAAAATAATTCAGATTTTTCAGGTGCCAAGTCTATTTATCTAGGCCAGTGGTTCCCAACCTTTTTTTTGACCAGGGACCACTTTGACCAGGGACAACTCTCCAACGTTAGTATCAAAAGGGTTACGAATCAGTTTTTGGTCAACTTCAGATTTGGTTTGGTTATTTGGGGTGCTGATTCGGAAAATTGCATTGGATAGACCACATTAGCTCTGGTTTCTGATACAGAACATATGCCATCCAGTCGTCGCCATCTTCTCACCCAAAGAAAACCATATTTAATAATGAACTGATGTGGTAATGTAGTAATCTTTTGTGGGTAGTCAGTCTCTCCCCTTCTGACATCCCTGTTGCCTCAGCACTATAAGAGGCTTTAGCGAGACCAGTTGCTCTCATTGCTACATGGTTTTGAGGCAACAAATATGGCCGCTGACCATATTTTTGTCCTTGCAGACCACTGGTGGTCCACAGACCACAGGTTGGGAACTACTGACCTTGGCAGAACTAATGCTCAACATACCCACTAACATTTCAAAGATGAAAATATGTGGCCAGGCAACACTGGACTGTGGTCAAGATGGCAAACATTACTGAAGAGGAAGAATAGACAAGCTAAGAGTAGGTGTAACAGTTTGTGTTTGACTGAGCCAATTCTGGAGGGGAAGATCCCATTCATCATTGTGAGTTTTCCATAGGCATTTAATTGGCTGAAGTATTACATTGATCTGAATGTGGTGTTTTTATGAGCAGAAGCTGCTTGCCATTGCATATTGTTGAAAAATATTTTTGGGTACTGGATTTGTGGATCCACCTGGTTTTGTACTAAAATCTTGAGGTCCACCAGCTGAGGACTTTAGCAGATAAATTTGCTGAGGACCACACTACGTATTATATTAAATCCATAGTGTAAGACTCCTCCCCGCTTTTTTAAACCTTACTTTAGTGGCAATACCAGAATTTAGATGAATGTGTGGAGGTGGGTGATTTAATCCCCCCCTTCAAGGCAGGTAACGTGAGGGGAAAACTCTACTAATCCCGATACAGTTTCCCCCTTCTTATTTCATTGGGGTGTATATGGCATTTTAAAATTAAATCTATATGCAGGGAAATGTAAT